TAAACTGTCACGTCGGTATAACCAGAGACGCCGTGCACAAAATCTGTAAACCTCCTGAGTGAGAAGAGAAGTTGGAGTTGCTGCCTGGCTCAGGAGGACTCCGTCCTACATTCTGTGCCCGGAGCTGATTTCAAATTACTCAAGTAGCACCGCTTTTTTTCCATGAAGATTAAAGCAATCCAGTATCTAGTCATATATTAACTACATTCAAATATGAAACAGTTAACTCCCTCCAGGAGTTAAGAGAGCTTCAATTTCTATGAAAATAAAATAGATGTTCAATGCTGAAAATCAGGAATAAATAATCTATTCCTGTAACTTCTTTTCTTCCTATGGCTTCAAAACAGAATTTTGGGGTGTCAGTCTGGAAGTTTATGTTGTTTTTTACAATAGAAAATTACAGCATGTTTAAGCAATAATTTTGTCAGTTACGATGAATTCTGAAAACTTGATTTTCAGAAATAAAATAGCTACAAAATACTTCTGCAAAGTCAGTTGGTTTCCTTTAACTCATTTGCTTAAACTGAAATAATCTCAATAATGTAAGTAGGAAAACTGCTGCAATTCAGTTTAATTTTACCGATTACTGTTTGTTTGCTTCTTTCTTACATCTTTTTTAATTTTAAATACTGCAGATAAAGAAATAAAGGAGAGAAATGCTTGCCTGAACATTTTGAAATGGATTCTTGTTACCGTAGGATTCACTGAGGTATGTGAAATCATCCATGCTAAGCTGAAAAACAAAGAGAGTAGATTGGTGAGAAGGAACCTTGGCATCTCATTTAGGTACAGACTTGCAGTCGGCATTGGTGAGAGAAAGGGAATTTAATGTTACATACTGCATCTTGCAGGAACAAGATGAGGTTTCTGGAATTCTGAGTAAAAACAGGTTGCAAGAGTACAGTCAGCTCCAGTGCTGAGACGATGTGTCCTTCGTGCAAAGCAGTATCTGGATCCCACTGTAATCTATAAAGAGAAAAAAAAATCTGTAAAATTTGCTGCCAATGATGACACCTTTCTTCAAATATGCAGGCAATAGGTAATGATATCATCATCCTTGGGTTAAAATCAGGCTTACAGTTCAGTTTACTCTCACTCAAGAGGAAAAGAACTTGTCCATTTATGCTTATATCTCATTAAGTGTGTTCCATTTCTTGTCTGTGTACAACAGCACGGTTGCATCTTTCAAAAAATTAGCTACTAAGTGGAATGAAGAAGAACACATTGAAAACCTTCAGAGAGAATTCCTAAAGGGAATCCTAACTCCCAAAACTCTTTCCAGTGCCGTCAGACATCTTGGTGGCCAGAGAGGAGAACTCGGGCTAGACCACAAGTTGTCATAAATGAGTATTTTTTAATAAACCTTTTGTTAAGTAGAAGTGGCTTTTCAGTATTCTTGTCAACAATATGTTCTCTCCTAAGGTTTTCATGATGAAGGAACTGCTCTGCAGAAGCAGCTCAGAAAAGCCACCTTTCCAGAAGCAGGCGCTCTTCTGAACACAACGGCTCAAAAGCTTGCAATTCTTTTGCCAACCTACCACTATGAGACCTGGACAGAGAAATAACTCTTCTGTTTAGTTTTACTACTACAAAAAACAGTTATGGGCTAAACAAGAGGTGGCATTATTCTTTCAACATTTGATTGGGATTTTAATGGTATGCAACATGGGTCTATAGGGATTAAATTTATTACGAATATTTTGGTCCTAGGTATCTTCGCTAAGGTAATATTGTCAGTCTGTAGAAAACCGAGAGCTTGAAGATTAATTTTGCCTCTTACCCAAACACACATCAGTTGCTAAGGCCTGAGAAATCAGGTATTTCAGACCCTCTAAATGGTTCTAATTACAAAGAATAGAATACAGAGAATTGCTGTGTGCTGGAGAATGAACTATTATATGATTGCAACTTGGTGAAGTTGAGATGCTTATTAAATTTTCTAACCCAAAAGCAATTCAGAAATGACCCTTGCAGAGCAAGCTTATGAATGAAAACAATCTCTGCAGTTTCTTAAGATGGAAACAGAACAGGGGTAACAAACACAGGGGGTTTCAATGTTGTTTCTCAGACAAGGAAAATCTATATTTCACTTCAAGACTTCCCAGTAATTCCAATGAAGATTGCCGAGAGTGAATCGAAAGCCTCCAACTGCACCCACGGCAGAGATAAAAGCAGTACAGTCCTGCAGTTCTAGATACCCAGCTCCCTTCAGAGTTTGGAGTTCAGGAGAGTGCTAAAGCAGAGTACATGTGGACAGTACATTTCATGACAATGTGCTGCAGATGTTAAAATTAAATTCTAGTAGATCTTCGGTCTGTCACTTTTCAAGCTTTGCAAGTAAACTGTGCTATGCAGGAAAGAATTTTTTTCTATTTGGTAGAAATTATCATTTGATATTTTCTTAGTTTTGCTCAGCATCTTCACTTCTTTGTTAATTTGTGCTTGGAAATCCATATTATTTTATATTTACGAAGCCAAAAAATTTAGAAATGGCATGCCTCAACTTTTCAGAAAAGTCAAACCTCATGATCTCAAATATTTAAGTATAATCTTTAAAAATAAGATATTTGAAAACACAAAAGCTCCCTAAGATTCTGAATGACTGTTCAGGAACTGACTTTCCTACTGACTCTATGCATTGCATGGCCACACCAAAATACTAATGACATTCAAGGAAAATAAGATAAATTAAATTAAGAGATGTTCAAAAATGGCTTGTGTGAAAGAAGATGCTAGTGAATATCTTGGTATATTTATTTATTTAAGAAACAAACTACTAAATCTATTTCATGTCTAATATTAGAAAAAACTGAAGATTTTGAGAGCTTTTGGGACTTGCAATTAAGAATAAAGGGTAACAGAAAGTACATGAAACAAAGCGAAGTTATTTGCAGCAGCACAATGACAAAGGCTTCTGTCGTGAACTCAAAACCTCAGAAATTTAATGAACCTGTTTTAAAGCATACTTGCTTCTAAGGTTTTCCCTGTTCCTTGAAGCAGCTCTCGCTAACTATCTAACCTTGAAAAGCACCTTTTGTGAGACTTTTCAGCTTCCAGGCAGTCAACTTTAATAACTCCAGCATCATCATTAGAAAAATAAATCTACATCAGTTAGTTAATAATTCTATCATAATGCCGCATTTGCCTAATACTTATATCCACCATCTTATATGCACATTTATTTTGCTTCTTTTAAATAGTTTGCTGAGCAGCACGCATGGCAGTAGGCAAGGCTACACCCTTCACTGAATGGGCTGCTGCTCTCCGCTGGGTGCAACAATATTCTCACCACGGTTCAGATGGGAAACGTCAGTATGTTTTACCAGCACAGTTTACTGTGAAGCGTAGGGAGAAATGGAGATACGTGACTGCCACAGATAGTGCCTTGTGGATGAGCTGAAGGTCTGCTTTACTGAATGTAATGAACCAGTCCATCCCTTTGACCTCTTCACCTCAAGCAGGCAGCAAGAGATCAGTAAGGGATGGCATAGGATGAAACAGGCAGTAGGCCAACACACACATTGATTGCTACTATTGATTGCTCACACAACGCTTTATGTCCAAAGATGCACACAGCCTTGTGCAGTCACATCAGGCTTAACTTCCCCACCATAGATCCGTCCTGGGGTCCTCAGACATCGGGGCTCATAATGACAAGCACCTCTGCTAATGCATGTGCCTTCCTGCTGGCTAAAAAGGAGGAAACAGCAAACTCAGCTGCTCTCTCTTTCCTCCAATAGCCAGGCAATGCACTAAAGAATGAGAGGAAAGAAAGCTTAGCTTGGTATTTTGCTTCTTTCTTGTCCCTAACTGCTCTGGCATGATAACAAGTTTAAACATACAGACTCTTCTCTGACCAGTGCTCTTTCTAGGTAGAACTGGGATTTGAGCACTTATTTTTGATGCAAGCAAAGATTTTCAGATTTCTTGTATCTGGACCTCCCAGAAGGGCAGACAGTAAGATAACAGGACTTCTATCATTCTAATTTGTGAGCTTACATTCTTGATTTGTAGCTGGCTTCTGAACTCTTTCCTACAAGTTATTCTTGTCAGTTTTTTCTTTCAGTCACCTCACGATTGCTGTATAAGAAATAGCACTTTCCTCTGCACAGCAGAAGTAAACAAGCTAATTAAAAAAATATTTGGGAATGACCTTCAAATACCACTTTTACACACAGAGCTCACTTATCACCATTACTGGTAGCAGCAGTGGAATGATAACTCGTGACTGTAGCAAAAAAATATCAAAAAGCTGCTCAAGCCTGCTAGCACACAGGATCTCCATAAAAGTCCAATAAAGTCACAACCAAAACAGTTTTCTGTTTCCACTGTATCCTTTTTATGTTCCACCTTCTTGCAGCAGATTTTTCAGCAAATTCCTTGCAGTTTTAAGAAATACTGCAAATGTACTATTTGGCATTAATGCCTTCTAAAAGTCACTTATAATCTGGATTTGCCAGAAAAGGATTCATTTCCAGTATAAACATAGCATAAATGAAGGTAGTAATATATTTTCAGTGACGCTAGGCAAAAATAATTCCTAAAACAAACATATGGGGGGGGCAATCACAAAAGCTAATTTTAATGAATTTATTTCTTCAGGCTACCTGTCTAATCTATGGAGGGAAAAAAATTCTTTTGAATATTGGTTCAAAATGGCTAAATCAAGTTTCTTCTGTGAATCATACACAAGAAGAACCTCGCCATCTCTACTGCTTTTGAAAAGTAACCAGGAGATATTAGTTTAAAAGCTAATTTAAGATAAACATTAATTTTTCCAGGCCAAAGTTATTTGGGTAATGTCCACTGATGTATTAGTATTAGTATTAGTTTGTGAAAGTGTTTTGAAGTGTTATATTCTTCTGATACAGCTGTTCTGTGATATGGTTTACAAATACTGGCTAATTCTAAAGAAGAGCAAAATGTATTAATCTTCAGCTATTTGACACCTTACCCTAACAGATAACCTGGGAGAGGGTGATGGAATAGATCAGTGAATCTCAGCTTCTGTTGATAAATTAATCTCTGAAGTTCTAAAGTGGTGGGATGTGTTGCCACAAAGCATGTAGAAAACCATGGCTCATTGCTGCACTTCTTTAGTTACCCTTCCTAAAACTCTTAATAGTAGTTTCCAGACTTCATAAGCCTGTAGGTCACACACTGCAAACCTTGCATCACTGCAAAGTTAAAGCATGGAGTAAAGCATTAGCAAACAAAACTTACTGTAATGTTTCTTTATTTTATAAAATAACTCAAATCTCCTTTCCTGTTCCTTCAGTGACTTTCATCAGAACTAACTTGTGCTCCACAGGAACTTCTCCTTTCAAAACTGCAAAGGTCATGGTAGGAGGAACACTTCTTTCAGAAAATGTTCTGTTCCTGGAAACATGAAACTGGTTTAATCAGCCCACTATCCTGATTTTCTTGCTCTAGATTTGTATAAACCTGAACAAACTGCAGTAGAGCAAGTTGCTAATTGCGTCTTGGTGGAAAGTTTGATGTTATGGCCACCCTGGATTAACTGATAAGATTTTACTTACACTAACAACAGGTGTGTTGTTTATCGACACCAGGAAGTTAGGACAAAGGAAGCACTGGTCTTTGCTTAGACTCTTAGGAACACTTTTATCCTAAGAACAACTCTTTCCAACATTTACTTTGCTTTTAAATACAGAGGTTTCATACTCATACACGTGCCTGTGTTGTATAAAGGTGAACAGATTAAGTAGTTTGAATATAAAAAAGCCTTGATGACAAGACACACGTTTATTTCTTTCAGGGGAGAAAAAAATTAAAATTACCTAATTAAACTTTATCAAACTTAGAAAATTCCTACATGTTGTGGCTCCTCAGGGTCTAGAGGTTCTGTTTCTGGAAATGCTTAATAGACGGGTAGATATATGTCAAAGCTGGTATTAATCACTGCTGGGAAAAGGATGCAATGTCTAGGATACATATGAAAGAAACACAGTCAACACCTCCTACACATCTGTTTTCTGTGTCCCTCAACGTTACAGCATCACATATGAAAAACCAGAAAAAGTAGTGTGCTTGTCTATGTGGCACAATACATGGAGAAACGTCTCCTGATCAGCTGAATCGATCTAATTCCTGATGTTCATAAAATTTCTGAATCCTCCTATTTCTGTCTTAAAGTCACCACATTACGAAGCAACCGAAAAAAAAAAAAAAAAAAAAAAAAGAGAAAAACATATTAAAAAGATTTAGCTCTCAGACTTAAAACTTAATAAATTTTCCTAAAGACAAAAGATTTATACTAGGATAAATGAAAGCAGAATTCAGCCTAATTCTCCTCCCAGTGACAGCTAAATAATTCACAGTGTCTCAAATGTGTTGAAGAATGGCTCAAAGCCTCGGGAAAGGTAGAGTGAATCCAGCGCCACTAGCTGAAAGGATAATTACCTCCCAAGAAGCCAGTGGTTTGGTTCCTCTCCCAGTTTACAGAAGAGTAAATCACATGCCAGCAAAGGGCCCCAACAGGAATCCCCATCACTACAGCCCCTTCTGTTCATCCTTACAGCAAAAGTGAGGGCTATCCTGTGCCCAAGGCTATTTGCAGTAAAGGAAAAGCATTTTATGCTTATGAAGTCACCCAGCTGGATTATGACAAATTCCAAATACTGTTGGCATTATGGATTATTTGTGTTAGAGAAATTAATAAATATC